AGAATTCAACAACAATGCTACCCCCAAAAAGCCTACAAACTCATGGAAACTGAACAGTCAACTACTGAACCATACCTGGATTAAGGAAGAAATTAAGAAAGAAATTAAAGTCTTCCTGGAATTCAATGAAAATAAAGAAACAACATACTCGAACTTATGGGACACTATGAAAGCAGTCCTGAGAGGAAAGTTCATAGCACTAAGTGCCCACTTAAAGAAAACAGAGAAAGCTCACATTGGAGACTTAACAGCCCACCTGAAAGCTCTAGAAAAAAAAGAAGCAGACTCACCTAGGAGGAGTAGAAGACTGGAAATAATCAAACTGAGGGCTGAAATCAACAAAATAGAAACACAGAAAACAATCCAAAGAATCAATGAAACAAAAAGCTGGTTCCTGGGGAAAATCAAAAAGATTGACAAACCCCTATCCAAACTAATCAAACGGCAGAGAGAGAATTTGCAAATTAATAATATCAGAAATGAAAAGGGGGACATAACCACAGACACAGAGGAAATTCAGAGAATCATTAGATCTTACTACAAAAGCCTATATGCAACAAAACTGGAAAATGTAAAGGAAATGGACACTTTTTTAGATAAATACCATATACCAAAATTAAACCAGGACCAGGTGAACAATCTAAATAGACCTGTTAGTCGCGAAGAATTAGAAGAGGTTATCAAAAACCTCCCTACCAAAAAAAGCCGAGGACCAGATGGTTTCAATGCAGAATTCTACCAGAACTTCCAAAAGACCTAATACCTATACTCCTTAATGTATTTCACAATATAGAAACAGAAGAGTCATTGCCAAATTCCTTTTATGAAGCTACAGTTACTCTGATACCAAAACCGCACAAAGACTCAACCAAGAAAGAAAATTATAGACCAATCTCACTCATGAACATCAATGCAAAACTCCTCAACAAAATACTGGCAAACCGAATCCAAGAACACATTAGGAAAATTATCCATTATGATCAAGTAGGCTTCATCCCAGGGATGCAGGGCTGGTTCAACATACGAAAATCTATCAATGTAATCCAGCTTATAAATAAACTGAAAGAAAAAAACCATATGATCATTTCATTAGATGCTGAAAAAGCTTTTGACAAAATTCAACACCCCTTTATGATAAAAGTATTGGAGAGATTAGGGATACAAGGGTCATACCTAAATATAATAAAAGCTGTATACAGCAAGCCGACAGCTAACATTAAATTAAATGGAGAGAAACTTAAAGCCATCCCACTAAACTCAGGAACACGACAAGGCTGTCCACTCTCGCCATGCCTCTTCAATATAGTACTTGAAGTTCTAGCAATAGCAATAAGACAACATAAGGGGATCAAAGGGATTCGAATTGGAAAGGAAGAAGTTAAACTTTCGTTATTTGCAGATGATATGATAGTGTACATAAGCGACCCCAAAAACTCCACCAAAGAACTTCTACAGCTGATAAACAGCTTTAGTAATGTGGCAGGATACAAGATCAACTCCAAAAAATCAGTCGCCCTCTTATACATAAAGGATATGGAAGCAGAGAGGGAAATCAGAGAAGCTTCACCTTTCACAATAGCCACAAACAGCATAAAATATCTTGGGGTAACTCTAACCAAGGATGTGAAAGATCTATTTGACAAGAACTTTAAGGCATTGAAGAAAGAAATTGAGGAGTATACCAGAAAATGGAAGGACCTTCCTTGCTCTTGGATTGGGAGGATCAACATAGTAAAAATGGCAATTCTACCAAAGGCAATTTATAGATTCAATGCAATCCCCATCAGGGTCCCATCAAAATTCTTCACAGATCTTGAGAGGACAATAATCAACTTTATATGGAAAAACAAAAAACCCAGTTTAGCCAAAACAATCCTATACAATAAAGGATTGTCTGGAGGCATTACCATCCCTGACTTCAAACTCTATTACAGAGCTACAGTGATGAAAACAGTGTGGTACTGGCATAAAAACAGAGAAGTTGACCAATGGAATCATATAGAAGACCCGAATTTTAACCCACAAACCTATGAACACCTCATTTTTGATAAAGGAGCCAAAAGTATACAATGGAAGAAAGAAAGCATTTTTAACAAATGGTGCTGGCATAACTGGATGTCAACCTGTAGAAGAATGAAAATAGACCTATATCTATCACCATGCACAAAACTCAAGTCCAAATGGATTAAAGACCTCACTATCAGTCAGAACACAGTGAACCTGATAGAAGAGAAAGTGGGAAGTACCCTACAGGAGATGGGCACAGGAGATCGCTTCCTATGTGTAACCCCAACAGCACAGACTTTAAGGGCAACATTGAATAAATGGGACCTACTTAAACTGAGAAGCTTCTGTAAAGCAAAGGACACTGTCTCCAAGACAAATAGGCAACCTACCCTCTGGGAGAAGATCTTCACCAACCCCGCAACAGACAAAGGTCTGATCTCCAAAATATATAGAGAACTCAGGAAACTAGACTTTAAAATGCTAATTGACCCAATTAAAAAATGGGGCACTGAACTGAACAGAGAATTCTCAGCAGAGGAAGTTCAAATGGCCAAAAGACACTTAAGGTCATGCTCAACCTCCTTAGCAATCAGGGAAATGCAAATCAAAACAACTTTGAGATATCATCTTACACCTGTCAGAATGGCTAAAATAAAAAACTCCAATGATAGCCTTTGCTGGAGAGGCTGTGGAGGAAAGGGAACTCTCATCCATTGCTGGTGGGAATGCAATCTTGTGCAACCACTTTGGAAATCGGTGTTTCGGTTTCTCAGGAAATTTGGGATCAACTTACCCCTGGACCCAGCAATACCACTCCTGGGAATATACCCAAGAGATGTCCTATCACATGACAAGAGCATTTGTTCAACTATGTTCATAGCAGTATTATTTGTAATAGCCAGAACCTGGAAACAACCTAGATGCCCTTCAATGTATGAATGGATGAAGAAAGTGTGGAATATCTACACATTAGAGTACTATGCTGCAGTAAAAAACAATGACTTCTCGAATTTTGCATGCAAATGGATGGAAATAGAAAACACTATCCTGAATGAGGTATCCCAGAGCCAAAAAGATGAACATGGGATGTACTCACTCATAATTGGTTTCTAGCCATAAACAAGGGTCACGGAGTCTACACTTGGTGATCCCAAAGAAGCTAAGTAAGAAGGTGAACCAAAGGAAAAGCATATAGTTGTCCTCTTGGCTATGGAAAGTAGACAAAATTGCCGGGGAGAAAATTGACATCTTGGCGGTGGGGTGGGATGGGGGTAAGGGGAGATGGGGATAGAGGGGGGAGAGGGGGAGAATGGGCGGGAGCTTGGGAAAGCGGAGGATTGGGATGAAGGAAGGTTGGATGAGGGAGCACGGAAGCACGGTTCTTAGTTAAGGGAGCCACCTTAGGGTTGGCAAGAGACTTGAACCTAGAGTGGCTCCCAGATACCCAAGCCGAGGTCCCCAGTTAGTTCCTTGGGCAGCTGAGGATGGGGAACCTGAAATGACCCTATCCTATAGCAATACTGACGAATATCTTGCATATCTTCATAGAACCTTCATCTGGTGATGGATGGAGACAGAGACAGAGACCCACACTGGAGCACTGGACTGAGCTCCCAAGGTCCCGATGAGGAGCAGAAGGAGGGAGAACATGAGCAAAGAAGTCGGGACCATGAGGGGAGCACCCACCCACTGAGACAGTGGAGCTGATCTATTGGGAGCTCACCAAGGCCAGCTGGACTGTGACTGAAAAAGCATGGGATAAAACTGGACTCTCTGAGCATGGCCAACAATGAGGGCTGATGAAAACCCAAGGACAATGGCAGGGGGTTTTGAACCTACGTAATGTGCTGGCTTTGTGGGAGCCTAGCCAGTTTGGATGTTCACCTTCCTAGAAATGCACGGAGGGGGGAGGACCTAGGACTTACCACAGGCAGGGAAATCTGACTGCTCTTTGGGCTGGAGAGGGAGGGGGAGAGGAGTGGGGGGAGGGGGAGTAGGGTGGGAGGAGGGGGAGGGAAATGGGAGGCTGGGAGGAGGAGGAAATTTGTTTTTTCTTTTCTCTTTTCTCAATAAAAAAAAGTTTAAAAAAAAGACAGAGTACAGACAGTCATTGATTAAAGGAATAAAGATAATAAAATAAATATTAAACTTGTAAAAAAAGCAATAGAGTAAGAAAAATAAGCCACATAAAGATGGAATATGCACAGAGAGTTTGGATTATGTATATTATTGTGTTTTCATTCAATTTTTTGACTGTGAAGAAGCTAATTAACCAAAATATATACTTTAAAAGTGTCTGTTTTCAAAATTTGGGTCTAAGGATATGTTCCTTTGGAAAAGAGGTTCTGCTTTTGTTTCCTCAGAAGATGAGAACCTGTGGATTAATTCCAGAATAATGTGGTTTGATGGACTCAGAACCCCTGAAAAGTCAGTGTGAACACCCCCAAAAATACTTCACCCAACAAAAAGCAGGAAGCAGTTTGGAGAGAACTATGTCATATTCCCAAATATTGTTTATAAATGTTTGTTTACATTTCAAGGGGAATATGTTATAGAGATTTGTATTGGTATGGATCTTGCTTTATTGATAAAAATTTGAGGTCAGTTTTTAAAAAAAAACATCATATGGATAGAAAATGTCATTTGAAGAATCATGACTCTCAGAACATCAGGGAATGTTAAGAGACCAGTGCTTAATAAATGCTGTCCCAGGAGAAGGATGTAGTGTTGCTAATAAGACTGGGATTGAAGAGCCACTGCTGCCCATGCGAAGACCTTTCAAAGTTCGTCATTTGGAATTCTGTCATTGGTACTGACTTTGCAAAGTGGCATTTTAAAATGAGTAAAGAGAAAGCATACACATAGTCTCATAAGAATCTGCAGCTAATGATATCTTTTGGCAATACATATCTTTTTAAATGCACAAGATATGCCATGATTAATAGGTACATTTCATGAAAGTAAAATATGTAGAATATATAGAGAAATCATACCTTCTATCAATAGCTCTTGTCCATGACTGCCCAGAAGTGTACGAGATAGGAATGGGGCAAAGTCTACAAAAATTTCACGAAGAAGAGGAGCAACTTTTTCTAAAGCTCTTTCAAGTTTTGCTGTGATGCTGTTGAAATTAAGACATAAAGACTAGTAAATATAATTCAATATAAATGCCAAATAAACTTTAGTTCTAAATTAAAATATTTATAAGTCACAGTAAAAGTCCAGTTTGAGCCCATGGAACACAGAAAGCTTCATATGGAAATATGGAAGGGACACAGTTTTGTGGAGTCAAGTGTCTGTCTACTCTGTAGACTGAAGCTGAATGAGAACAACTACACAGTGAAAAAGAGCCTGAGTTCTGCACCCAAAGGGGCCAAAGACACTGCCACAAATCTAGGAATGTCAGGGGAAAATGAGTTCTTCTACGTCTCCATACAACATCAATGAAAACGGCTTTGAGGCCTACTGTGTGGTCACTATACCAGTTACAAAGAACTCCTGTTCTCAAAAAGCATTTCCTGTAAAGCTAGACAACTAAAAAAGTAACTGAAAGTTGGGTTATTTGCTTTGTCAGAGTAAAATTTTCATTTCCTAAGCCCATTTACTTTCTCAATTCCTAAAATAGTATTTAAGTGTTCAGTATTGCATTTTAAGTGGTTGCTTTGCAGGTCTATGTTGTAAGTAAAGAAAAAAGTGGGAGAGGAAAATATTATTACACAGGCAGGTTAATATTTTGGCTATAGATATACGTCTTGTAGATATGAGTGATGAGAAAGACTGCTTAAGGTGGAATATTGACTCTGTCACAGACTAAGCCATGTGATGTTATGAACATCAGCTTTGCCAACTTGAAGAATGATCATCCTAACATCTAGATAGTGGAGATTAATCAGCTAAGCCACAAAATCCAAGCAGAAAAGCACCCAGTACACAATGAGATGTCAGTAATGTTAGTTAGTTTTGTAAGTGATATTTTTAATAAAGCCCACCCATATGTAGTCTTGTAAAATCCAACATTGATCTATTGAACAACAACAACAACAAAATCAATATAACATGAGATGAGTCCATGCCATACAGGAGCTATGGAATAAGGAGTGAACAGGGATGTATAGGTTTGCCATCTGCAGGGTGTGGCAGAATCACAGTAGAGCCTGCTGACAGAGACTGCCCAGCGCCCCACTTCTGACTGAGCATATACAGCTGTAATATGAGAGCATACATGCAGGTCTCAGGTGATGCTGACATCGACCAGGGACCATTCTGACACTCTAAAGAGAAACTGATGCTAAGGAATGGTAACACAAAAGCTAGAGGGATAATATTACCTAAAGGTTCAGAATTCTCACCATCACTCTAGATTTTCCTTGACTTTTAATAACTAAAAGTAGAGCTTTTCTATCTCCTATTTCACCCAATCCTATTCATCTGCAGAATCATGTCCATAGCTTCTTAGACAAAGTAATTCCATCTACTATGAAAGCATAAGAAGGGATCACAACTATAGAAATGGGATAGATCCAGATAATTATTAATATTTTCTAAAGCTGATTTCTGAAAGAAGCACTGATATTTAGCTGTATTTAATTAACATGAGTGAGCGCACAGAAATATGAAAATTCAAGTTTCTGTAGATTTATATCCATCATCAAGTTATATTGCCTGATTTCCTCATCACATTACACAAAACACTCTAATTGGAAAAGTATCTGTAACCATTTCTATGCTGAAGAGACTGACATTACACCATGTGTTAACAAAGGAGGGTAAAATATGTGTTCATCCATATTATAACTTATCAAAAGAAGTGGAACAGAAATTAAATTCATCTTTAGACACCCTTTATTCCTTGGCAAACAAGGACTTTGATCCTTCCACATAAAAAGGCACATAATGCTGGCCTGCACTTCACTTCTAGGGCTTCCTTTTTTGTTTTTGGTCAGAGAAAAGCACAGTATAAATTGGTGAAGCTCCACGCTGTACATGAGAAAACTATCCACTAATGTATTACAAAGAGATGATAGCTCAGGAGAACTCCAAGGCTTTCAGTCCTATAAGTAAATGATTCTCTCAAAGAGAAAGTAAAAGGAACTGCTGGGCAGGGTGGGTATATTTGAGTACTAGGGGGATGGGGCAGACAATGGCAAGTTCTAGGTCAGACTGAGCTACCACAAGAACCACAAAGAAACAAACACCATATAACAGAAAAAAGGGGATACTTTTAAGCAAATTACTGTACAAGAAATAATAGCATGCTTTATTTACTTTAGGGGAACATAAGTAGTTTTTCAGATTTTCAGAGATGTTACTTCATTTACAAAAACACATTCACTTGGTGCACAAATACAAAAGTGCAGTAACTACAGAACTGGCCCCTCGGGCTTCCAACTACACTCTAGCAACTTCCTAATGGTCAGGGGAGTTCCTGGGTTGGAACCAAAACTGTTTAAGCCTCTGACTTCACTCTCCTTTAGTTCTAGTGTTGAACTAAACACTAGAGATGCTCAGTGGCTCTATTTCTGGATAGTGAGCACAAACTCCTAAGAAAGAGTACCACTGATTTCCATATAGAAAACAATGCCCACAAATGAAGTGATTTATCAACAATTTTAACAAAATTACTAGAGAGAGGAAAATAAAACCTTCAGATGAGAGTCTATAGATGTGAAATATAATACAATGTGTTCTGTAGCACAAGTACTTAATGTTGTTTTTAAATCACAATTAGGTTCTTTCTTTTCCTTTCACTTTTGTTTTTCTTTTGATATAGGGCCTTACTATGTACCTCTGGCTGTCCTGGAACTCAATATGTAGACCAGGCTGCCTCAAACTCACAGAGTTCTGTTTGCGTCTATCTCCAAAGTGCTGAGATCAAAGGTGTGCACCACTACACCAAACTGGTACTTGCTTTCATATGTATTTAAAAAGTCTCAGTAAATTCTAAGGATTTTTTTTATTTTTTATTTTTTTAACTTTTTTTTATTGAGAAAAGAAAAAAAAACAAATTTCCTCCTCCTCCCAGCCTCCCATTTCCCTCCCCCTCCTCCCACCCTTCTCCCCGTCCCCCCACTCCTCTCCCCCTCCCTCTCCAGCCCAAAGAGCAGTCAGATTTCCCTGCCCTGTGGTAAGTCCTAGGTCCTCCCCCCTCCGTGCATTTCTAGGAAGGTGAACATCCAAACTGGCTAGGCTCCCACAAAGCCAGCACATTACGTAGGTTCAAAACCCCCTGCCATTGTCCTTGGGTTCTCATCAGCCCTCATTGTTGGCCATGCTCAGAGAGTCCAGTTTTATCCCATGCTTTTTCAGTCACAGTCCAGCTGGCCTTGGTGAGCTCCCAATAGATCAGCTCCACTGTCTCAGTGGGTGGGTGCTCCCCTCGTGGTCCCGACTTCTTTGCTCATGTTCTCCCTCCTTCTGCTCCTCATCGGGACCTTGGGAGCTCAGTCCAGTGCTCCAGTGTGGGTCTCTGTCTCTGTCTCCATCCATCACCAGATGAAGGTTCTTCTTACTTAGCTTCTTTGGGATCACCAAGTGTAGACTCCGTGACCCTTGTTTATGGCTAGAAACCAATTATGAGTGAGTACATCCCATGTTCATCTTTTTGGGTCTGGGATACCTCACTCAGGATAGTGTTTTCTATTTCCATCCATTTGCATGCAAAATTTGAGAAGTCATTGTTTTTTACCGCAGTATAGTACTCTAATGTGTAGATATTCCACACTTTCTTCATCCATTCTTCCATTGAAGGGCATCTAGGTTGTTTCCAGGTTCAGGCTATTACAAATAATACTGCTATGAACATAGTTGAACAAATGCTCTTGTCATGTGATAGGACATCTCTTGGGTATATTCCCAGGAGTGGTATTGCTGGGTCCAGGGGTAAGTTGATCCCAAATTTCCTGAGAAACCAAAACACCGATTTCCAAAGTGGTTGCACAAGATTGCATTCCCACCAGCAATGGATGAGTGTTCCCCTTCCTCCACAGCCTCTCCAGCAAAGGCTATCATTGGAGTTTTTTATTTTAGCCATTCTGACAGGTGTAAGATGATATCTCAAAGTTGTTTTGATTTGCATTTCCCTGATTGCTAAGGAGGTTGAGCATGACCTTAAGTGTCTTTTGGCCTTTTGAACTTCCTCTGCTGAGAATTCTCTGTTCAGTTCAGTGCCCCATTTTTTAATTGGGTTAATTAGCATTTTAAAGTCTAGTTTCCTGAGTTCTCTATATATTTTGGAGATCAGACCTTTGTCTGTTGCGGGGTTGGTGAAGATCTTCTCCCAGTCAGTAGGTTGCCTATTTGTCTTGGTGACAGTGTCCTTTGCTTTACAGAAGCTTCTCAGTTTTAGTAGGTCCCATTTATTCAATGTTGCCCTTAAAGTCTGTGCTGTTGGGGTTACACATAGGAAGCGATCTCCTGTGCCCATCTCCTGTAGGGTACTTCCCACTTTCTCTTCTATCAGGTTCACTGTGTTCTGACTGATAGTGAGGTCTTTAATCCATTTGGACTTGAGTTTTGTGCATGGTGATAGATATGGGTCTATTTTCATTCTTCTACAGGTTGACATCCAGTTATGCCAGCACCATTTGTTAAAAATGCTTTCTTTCTTCCATTGTATACTTTTGGCTCCTTTATCAAAAATGAGGTGTTCATAGGTTTGTGGGTTAAAATTCGGGTCTTCTATATGATTCCATTGGTCAACTTCTCTGTTTTTATGCCAGTACCACACTGTTTTCATCACTGTAGCTCTGTAATAGAGTTTGAAGTCAGGGATGGTAATGCCTCCAGACAATCCTTTATTGTATAGGATTGTTTTGGCTAAACTGGGTTTTTTGTTTTTCCATATAAAGTTGATTATTGTCCTCTCAAGATCTGTGAAGAATTTTGATGGGACCCTGATGGGGATTGCATTGAATCTATAAATTGCCTTTGGTAGAATTGCCATTTTTACTATGTTGATCCTCCCAATCCAAGAGCAAGGAAGGTCCTTCCATTTTCTGGGATACTCCTCAATTTCTTTCTTCAATGCCTTAAAGTTCTTGTCAAATAGATCTTTCACTTCCTTGGTTAGAGTTACCCCAAGATATTTTATGCTGTTTGTGGCTATTGTGAAAGGTGAAGCTT